CTGACTTATTTCACTCAGCATAACCCCCTCCAGTTCCATCCAAAACGTGGTGTTTTTCAACCACGTGTTGAGATAGGGGAGGCACAAGATGAAGGCAACCTGGACCCAGGGTCTAGGAAAAGCAGAGGGCCCCTGCCAAACTGTATCAGATTTTGTGTGCACAAAGATGCACTTCTGTTGTGTTAGCCCTTCAAATGTCACAGTTTGTTGCATCAGCTAGCAGTTACTTTCATGCAGCCGCTTTTTTTGTTGTTAGGCTTATCTAGCAATTTTACTTAAGAAGGTAGTAGTACATATCTTCCTATTGCAAAAAACTTCTAAAACTACAGATGAGTCACAATATCCCCTTTTCAAAGTTCCTCCACAATTCAGCCTCCTCCTCAGAAGTCACCATGACTAACAATCTAGTGTGTGTTTTTATTTTTTTAATTTAAAACATTTTCTTTGAGAGAGAGAAAGAGTGTGTGAGTGGAGGGAGGGGCAAAGGGAGAGAGAGAGAGAGAGAGAGAGAGAGAGAGTCTCAAGCAGGCTCCATGCAGAGCCCAACTCGGAGCTCGGTCTTAGGACCCCGAGGTCATGACTTGAACCGAAATCAAGAGTCGGACGCTTAACCAGCTGAGCCACCCAGGCGCCCCTAGTGTGTGTTATTCTAAAGGTGACTATGGTTTTTTCATAGATATGCTCTACAAATATATTGTTCTTATTCAACCTAACCCGTAATACTGTGCATATTGATCTGCCACTAGCTTTTGTCACTTAATAAAACGGATGCAGGATCTTCCCATAACAGCACATATAGATCTACCTCACTTTTGAAAGTATTCCCTGGAATGTTAAAGTTTGTATATACCATAATTAATCACATAAACAATTTTTTCCTGGTGGAAACAAGTTGTTTTCCCTTTATCGTATGATTAATAGAATGAAAACAACATCTTTGACTATGAATCCTTGGGTAGATATGAATGTTTTCTAATAAGATATACATACCAACATAGACATTGGGTTAGAGTGGAGAGGGTGTGAATTGTTTAACATTTCATAAATGCGTCGAAATTTTATTCCACAAGTACTATACCAGTTTGCATTCTCATAAAAATTGGAAATGATTTAAGATTCTGCAATTTCAACAAGACATTTCCCCCTCTACTTTGAGAAACAGGGATTTGGCCAGAAGGACCAGCAGCCAGGGGAGGAGACCAGCCAGGACACCCTCAGCTAGTGAGGGGCACTGAGAGCATCCTGGGGAAAGTGATGGCCAGAGTCCATGAGAGAAAACGAGTACAAAACCAAGTGCAGAGAGCCCCAGGCAGGCTGGCAGTCAGGGCTCTGAATCTAGAGTTCAGCTTAGGGGGAAAGGGACCAAAAGGAGAGAAGGTGGAGAGGCGGAGGGATTCAGGAGAAAGAACGTGGATGGGCTGGGGAAGCCTCTGAATCATTATCACCAGCTGGAAGTTGTGGGATGGTCTGACAGGGCAGGTCTGTTGGATGAATGGATCAGCAGCAAGCAAGACACCCCACTACTGTAGAGCCCCCCTACCTCTGTCAGGAAGAGTACACTTGTCTCCCTGCCCCTGAATTCAGGTGAGTGACATCTCTTGACTACTCTAGTGGTCCAGGGCATCCTTGCCAGGGTCCCAGGGCTGGGAGCTGTCATGATGCCTGCTGGAGGCAGGGGGCTTTCCCCCTCGGTGGAGTGCAACCCCACATAGAGGGTGGGGCTATGTGAGTGAGGGGTTGGTGACCGAGGAAGGACAGCTGAGATAGGCCAGGAATACCCAGGAGCAGTGGAAGGGAGCGTGCTGCTAGCTGCAGGGAGGGTGAAATTGGAAGGAGAAAGCCCTGGGGCCAATCACCTCAGACTCTGCAGATAAAGGGCTGGGCATGGACACGCTTGAAAGCTGTCCAAATGGTGTCCACGGCTCAGACTGCCTTCCAGGGCTCCTGAGGTCGTGGCATAGCAGGGGCGGGTGTCCTGTCCTGTGGCTATGACGGCCGGCCTGTGTTGCCACCAGTTTGCAGGGTGGGTGGAAAACCTGTGGAGATGGCCTTTTCTTATTCAACTGATGAGAAAGTGTGGGCTCCAGTGCAGGACAAGGAGCATAAATGGGCTGGGGAAATCTGATAGACCATGTTTCCTAGGAAGGAAGCACCATGGACCACCCTGTTGAGAGCATCCCCACCTCCAAGATGGTGTTTGGACCTGGGGAGGAGACGTCCATGGTGACACCCTCAATAA